GGAAAGGAAGCCGAGGGTCATCTAGTCCAACCCACTGCAATGCAGGAATCTCAACTAAACAATCTTGTAATTTGCTGTTATTCAAACCCAACACCCCCCCCCTCAGGTGGTTTAACCCTCAGGGGCCCTCCATCCGGTTAAAAGTGTTCCATGAAGCAGGCTTTATTACAAAACTTTACTGCAAAAATCAACATTTGGGGCTGATAGAAAACTCACGCAGCAAATGAGGAAGACAAAGGGTTTGTAAGCCAGCAAAATAGGCACAGAGGAATAAACTCCAAAGTCTGCGCCCAACAGATTGTGCCCCTTAATATACATTTCTGTTATCTCCTAAGGCAATGCATACACAAAGTATCAAATGTGGCAACAGTAATAATAATGCAACAAAACACCACCACCACAAACTGGCTTATAAGTATAAAACCAAATTTACTAGAATAGAGATAGACTTGTAACCGTTCAAGCAACAAACATACTAAGGTGTCATGTGCAAAACAAAGCCTGGAGATACAGTGGTACCTCGGGTTACAGACGATTCAGGTTACAGACTCCGCTAACCCAGAAATAGTACCTCGGGTTAATAACTTTGCTTCAGGATGAGAACAGGAATTGTGCTCTGGCGACGCGGCAGCAGTGAGAGGCCCCATTAGCTAAAGTGGTGCTTCAGGTTAAGAACAGTTTCAGGTTAAGAACAGACCTCCGGAACGAATATAGTACTTAACCCGAGGTACCACTATACTGTAAACATGGACTAGATAAATGTACAACTGTATCTTAACAAGTTACATGTGCAATAAACGTTATACAGACTTGATAAATGAACCTTTCAACAAGTAGCGTAAGTCCTATCACAGAACGGCAACCCCGTGCCGCCACAGTGGCAAGGGTGGCACACTGGAGAATATGAAAAAGTTTTTCAAAGCTGTTTTTCAAAGATTGAACTGGATGAGATGTTCTTCAATGGGTCTTGTGTTATTCACACCAGGGTGGTGGCTTTGATTTGCCTTCCTGTGATTGATCTATGCATACGGCTTTGTGTTTCCAATTCAAGACCTATTGAAGAACATCTCATCCGGTTCAATCTTTGAATGGGGTTGCCGTTCTGTGATTGGACTTACGCTTTTTGGAGGAGGCTGAATCTGGTCCTCTTTGAGGCCTTGCTTTCGCAGGCTTTGGCACTTGATCTTGATGGATGAACGAATAACTCATATTGGCAAGAAAAGGACAGGCAAGGAAACTCAGCACTTTTTATTTGACTTGGTATAATTTTATTGCCTAGGCAACGTCAGGCCAACGCGGCTACAGACCACCGGCAAGGCACAGAGACCTTTGGAACGAAACCTTTGTTTGATGAGAGAAACAATGTTATTTTATTTTATTTTTAATTAAAATTAACTCGGTACCTCACCAAGGGGGAGACGGGGCTGTTTGTTTGCATAGAAGCAGTATTTCTGAAGACTGAGGTGAATGGATTCCCTCAGAAGGTGATGGACTGTCTGTCATTGAATGTTTTAAAACAGATGGATAGCCACCTGTCATGCGTGGAGATACCTGCATATCAGGCATGTCCAACAGGAAGATCATGATCTACCGATAGATCACTGAAGGTCTGTGGTAGATCACTGTGGTGGCTCCCCCCAAAGAAGGTAAAAAACTTTGGTTCCCCTAAAAAAACCCTCAACATCTTTGCCCTGCACCCCTAATATGACCTGAACCCCCAAAAGGGGGTAGACCACTGCCAGTTTTTTACTCTGTGAGTAGATCGCATTCTCTTGGAATCTGGCCACCCCTGGACTAGATGACTCCAGGAATCTCTTCAATCTCCACAATTTTATGATGCTGTGATTCTCCTTCCGTCTGAAAAATAAATAAAAACAAATTTTAGTACTGTGTCCAGTTCTGGGCACCACAGTTCAAGAAGGACACTGACAAACTGGAACGTGTCCAGAGGAGGGCAACCAAAATGGTCAAAGGCCTGGAAAGGATGCCTTATGAGGAACGGCTAAGGGAGCAGGGCATGTTTAGCCTGGAGAAGAGGAGGTTAAGGGGTGATATGATAGCCATGTTCAAATATAGAAAAGGATGTCACATAGAGGAGGGAGAAAGGTTGTTTTCTGCTGCTCCAGAGAAGCGGACACGGAGCAATGGATCCAAACTACAAGAAAGAAGATTCCACCTAAACATGAGGAAGAACTTCCTGACAGTAAGAGCTGTTGGACAGTGGAATTTGCTGCCAAGGAGTGTGGTGGAGTCTCCTTCTTTGGAGGTCTTTAAGCAGAGGCTTGACAACCATATGTCAGGAATGCTCTGATGGTGTTTCCTGCTTGGCAGGGGGTTGGACTCCATGGCCCTTGTGGTCTATTCCAACTCTATGATTCTATGAAACGGTAGAAAAGCTACCTATGTTAAAAACAGGTAATAGCTTAAAAAAAGGATTCAACTTGAATCCTAGACAGATATCAACTTTAGAAGGGTTGTTGAAAGAGGAGCGTCTTCAGCAGGTGCCAGAAAAAGGACAAGAGAGGCATCGGATGGAGCCCCAAAACATCTGGAGGGCACCAGGTTGGCCACTTGCCTTTCAGTGATTTGACTGATTTGTTGTGGCGGAAGCTGCAGCGGATTAGATCTGACTCCCGACAGGTGCACAATTTGTTGTCCTCATCTAGGCGACACAAATCCTTTGTCATGCGCCTGACAAAGCAGTCTGTGGCCTCTGCTTCGAGAAATTGGTGCGTCTTTAAGCTGTCACAAGGTGTGCTTTTTTCATCTGCGGCGGCAGCAACTGTCAACACAGCGACACCTCCGGAATTTGATCTAAGCGGGTTGTTTGTCAAACAGATCTCAGGTTGAATTTGTCAAACAGAGCTCAGGTCGGCTATACGGCGGTGTTTCCCGTATGGAGACGCACCAATATTTTTGCTTTTTCCTAATGAGGCGAACAGCGCTTGAAGGATGGAGGGATATATCTAGGAAACAGTATGAGGGAAGGAGTTATTTGTACAGCGGCGTCAGGTAAATTCCAGGAACGCTCCCAGACCATCACTATTTCTGGATGGGATTGTATACCTGCAAATTCAGGCAATGCAGTTGAAATTCATTTGGCACTCCTGTGTCACAAACGCACTACACTCCTGCCCCCTAAACCAGGCTTTTGTGATAAGGAGAGGGACAGGGAAGTGCCCTGAAAAATGTATAACAACACTTAAAAATATAAGTGCATCCTTCCTATGTGTGTGCGTCCTATGGGGCGAATGCAGGCTTTTGCTGAAGCCTGGAGAGCGAGAGGGATCGATGCGCACTGACCCATTCGCTCTCCAGGCTTCACGCAGATCTCCGCAAGCCGTGGGAGCCCGCGCCGGGCTCCCACGGCTTGCGGAGAGTTCCCTGCATGCCGAAGGCTGGGCGCGCTGAGCTCAGCGCGCCCAGACTTCGCACAGCTCTCCGCAAGGCGCGGGAGCCCGGCGCCGGGCTCCCATGGCTTGCAAAGAGTTGCCTGTTCTGGGGTCTGGGGAAGCTCGGGTTTTCCCCGCCCCAGCCCCGCGCCTGGGGGAAAAATAATTCCCCCCTTTATTCCCCCCCCAATAAACTAGGTGCGCCTTATGGGACAGTGTGTCTTATAGGGCGAAAAATACTTAACCCGAGGTACCACTGTATTTGGTGGAGGGAAGGAGAAACAGAGAGTCAATGAAAGAGCATTTACACGGGCCAATGAATCATTAAATCATATTTTTATAGCGAGGTTTGGACGATGAGAGTTTTCCTTTCCATCCAAGCCAGACCTAAGATCAAAAACTGACCCATGGAAAGAGGGGAGGGATCCCTAGAGGGTATATGTTGCCAAATGTGGCTGGTCTTACTTCCTCGAGTTGGCTATAAATCTGATGTTACCTTTTTGCCATGCGTGGCTTTCCTCTGCCTTGCAAACACAGCGTGGTCTAGCTTGTGCAAAAGGAAACAATTTCAGAAGCGGGAAGGGAAGGCAGGTGTAGGATTAGCCTGGCAGACAAAAAGGTTAACATGAATGGCCTTTTGATCTCTCCCAGCGCCCACAACTCTTAAGAGCAGGGGTCAGCAACCTTTTTCAGCTGTGTGCCAGTCCACCGTCCCTCAGACCATGTGTTGGGCCGGACTATATTTTTTTTGGGGGGGGGGAATGAACGAATTCCTATGCCCCTCAAATAACCCAGAGATGCATTTTAAATAAAAGCACACATTCTACTCATGTAAAACACGCTGATTCCCTGATTCCCGGACCGTCCGTGGGCCAGATTGAGAAGGTGATTGGGCTGGATCCGGCCCCTGGGCCTTAGGTTGCCTACCGCTGCTTAAGAGGTTCCAAGTCTGTTTCTGAGATCTCCCTCGGATGAGCATTTGGCTACAGAGCGAGGCCTTTGATTCCCCCCCCCCTTCTTCCCAAGGCATGAACCAAAGCCCTAAGATTTTCAAGCTTCACTTTGCCCAATTAATCAAAGATGCCCCCAGTTGCCCAGGTTACTAAGACATCCAAGTTGCCGGGTTACCCAGACGCTCCAGTTGCCCAGGTTACAAAGAGAGGTCCAAGTTGCCTGGGTTACCATGCCAGGTTATCAAAGATGCCCAGGATGTCACCCAGCCTTGCCTGAGGCGGCCCGGCTGCCAGGATGCTCCGACTGCCCACCACACGGCGGTGCCAGCCTTGCCCGGCGTTGACTTAACACTGCACTCCGCTCAGGGTTGCCTAGATGCCCGGCCTGAAGCCAAACTCCCCTGGGAATGGAAGTTCAGAGTGGTGCCAAGTTGCTCTCTCCATCCTCCCCTGGCTCACGTCAGGTTGCCCCTGGCAACAGCATCCCCTGGGGGGAAGGAGAGGCGGGCGGGTACCAGCCCAAGGCTTCCCCGGCCCCGCCCTGTCCCTTTCCCCAGCCCGGCAGCCAACCAGAGGCCTCCCCCGGCTGCCTTTCAAGGCTCCCCGCCCAATGGGGTGGCTCCGGAGGCGGGGCAGTGGGGGGGGTCCGCAGCCCCAGGCGGAGAGGGCGGGGCTCCATCCTCTCCATCCTGCGCGCTGGGCTTGTTGCTGATGAGGGAGGACTGGGAGGCAGGAGTCTGGGACAGGAGGAGAAACAGGTAAAAAAAGGTTTGGGGCGGGAGGGGGGAGCTGTTGCGCTCTGGGGGGCGCTGGGAAGCTGAAGAAAGTGAGTCTTCATTAAAAGAAGAATGGAAAAAATTACTGTTTGATTTGGGAGCGAAAATGAGCAGGTAAACTTCAAAGGCGGCGCATCCTTCCTTAGGAATTGTGGTCTGGCCTTTTGGCCATTTTCGTTCCAGCCTCTAACAAACTTCAGTCTTTTATTTCGTTGCGTTTTGCGCCGCTCTGCGCGCATCCCGAAGCCGTTTCTGCGATGCGTCAGGGAGTTGCCCCAAATCTCCTCCTCCGAGCCACCAACCTGTTGTTTATTTCCTTCTGTCGGGAACTGCGAGCGAACGGGCAAAGTTCTTGATGGTTCTCCCCCGTTATAAAAGAGGCGGATTGTGCCCCGTGCGCCTTGGGGAGGAGAGAGGGGCGCCTTGGATCTGAAACGGAATAGAGGGGGAGTCTAGAGGGAGATTCGGGGGCTGAATGGATGGTGGGCGGCGAGGAGGAGGGGTGTGTTTGTGTCAGATGCGGGGATCTGGAGCAGGTCTCTAGAGGTTTTCCTGGGATTAATTCTGGATACGAGTGATCGCGGAACAGGTGCTTCTGAGGGTCCAAGCTCAGGCTGGAATTAGGGGGCTTGAGAATGGAGCAGAGTTGAAAGGGACTACCAAGGGTCATCTAGTCCAACCCCCTGAAATGCAGGGAGTGGTGTGGATGGTTTTGAAATGACCGCAGGAAAGGGGAATCGTGAAGTTGTCTGAGTTAATCTGCTGTTTATCAGTGTTCGCCTATTCATTTTAATGAATAGGCTGCATTTTAATATTTAATGTTTCAATATTTAATGTTGTATTTTAATCTTGTTTTTAAGTTGTATTCATTCACTTGTTTTTATTGTTGCTTGTTAGCCGCCCTGAGCCCGGCTTTGGCTGGGGAGGGCGGGGTATAAATAAAATTATTATTATTATTTCTCTGAGGAAGCCCGAGGCGCATACGTGGTTTTCTCCCCCTCCCCATTTAATCTCCACAACAACCCTGTGAGGTTGGCTAGGCCGAGAGATGGCCCAAGGTCACCCAGTGAGCTTTGTGCCTGAGAGGAGATTTGAACCCAAGCCTCTGATACTCTAACCCAGGCATAGGCAAACTCGGCCCTCCAGATGTTTTGGACTACAATTCCCATCATCCCTGACCACTGGTCCTGTTAGCTAGGGATCATGGGAGTTGTAGTCCCAAAACATCTGGAGGGCTGAGTTTGCCTTTGCCTGCTCTAACCAATGCACCACACTGTCTCTCTCTCTGCAACCCAAGTTAGGACTCCTGGGTTCCCTTGCAAGCTCCAACTGTTTGAAGTGTACAGACTCACCCTTTCCCTTGCTCCAGAGTGTCGCCTGAGGGAGGGATATGTACCGCTGCGTCGTAATAATATATCACAGCAGTATATAAAGGCCCAGCAACTGTGGGTTGATTCTCAGCTATAAGTTTCCATCTTTCCCCTCTCTCATTTAGTCACAGGAGAGGCAGGTCACTCCCAGACAAACTATGGAGCATTCATCTCGATTTTCTTAACTCCAAATTTACAGGGAGGTTAAGAGGCACCATCTGCTTATCGCGCATTTGTTTTGATTTGTTTGCAAGTAGGTTACACAACATGGTGTCAATCCGCAAGAACGATAGATCTGTAGCGTTGGAAGGGGCGCCAAGGATCATCTAGTCCAACCCCCTGATGTGCAGGAATGACAGCTAAAGAATCCCTGACCAACTTGTGCTTTACAACCTGCAAGAGAGAGTCTGTTCCACGGTTGAACAGCTCTTACTGTCAGAAAGTCCTTCCTAATGTTCAGTCGGAATCTCCTCTGGTCTGGAGCAGCGGAAAAGAAGCTTGCTCCATCTCCCATGTGTCAGATCTTCAGGCGTTTGAAGATGGCTATCATGTCAAAAGACGCCTGCTTCTTGGGAGAAAAGCAATGACAAACCTGGACAGCATCTTAAAAAGCAGAGACATCACCTTGCTAACAAAGGTCCGTATAGTTAAAGCCATGGTTTTCCCAGTAGTGATGTATGGAAGTGAGAGCTGGACCATCAAGAAGGCTGATCGCCGAAGAATGGATGCTTTTGAATTCTGGTGCTGGAGGAGACTCTTGAGAGTCCCATGGACTGCAAGAAGATCAAACCTCTCCATTCTGAAGGAAATCAGCCCTGAGTGCTCACTGGAAGGACAGATCCTGAAGATCCTGAATACTTTGGCCACCTCATGAGAAGAGAAGACTCCCTGGAAAAGACCCTGATGTTGGGAAAGATGGAGGGCCCAAGGAGAAGGGGACGACAGAGGACGAGATGGTGGGACAGTGTTCTCGAAGCGACCAGCATGAGTTTGACCAAACTGCGGGAGGCAGTGAAAGACAGGAGTGCCTGGTGTGCTCTGGTCCATGGGGTCACCAAGAGTCGGACACGTCTAAACGACTAAACAACAACAACAATCATATCACCTCCAGGCTGGATATGCAACTCCCTCAACTGTTCCTCATCAGGCTTGATCATCTTCCTCACCCTCCTCTGCCCACCTTCCACCTTGTCAATATCCTCCCTAAATTGTGGCGCCCAGAACAGGACACAGGACTCCAGGTGTGGTCTGACCAAGGCGGAATAGAGCAAAACTATTACTTCCCTTGGTCTGGGCACTGTCTCTGTTCAAGTATTGTCATCCCACACTTCCCAGAGGATTTTCACCATCACTTTCCTTACTGCAAAATGTTTGGGTTTTGTTTGTTTTGTTTTGTTTTGAAAATGAGTTTGTTCAAAGAGCATCAGTTCCACCTTAATTGTGTAACATGAATTTGCTGGTGTTTGATTGAATCCCACTTGGAAAATAGTGACAGTCTGTTGTTGTTGTTGTTTAGTCGTTTAGTGGTGTCTGCTTCTTTGTGACCCCCTGGACCAGAGCACGCCAGGCACTCTTGTCTTCCACTGCCTCCCGCAGTTTGGTCAAACTCATGTTCGTAGCTTTGAGAACACTGTCCAACCATCTCGTCCTCTGTTGTCTCCTTCTCCTTGTGCCCTCCATCTTTCCCAACATCAGGGTCTTTTCCAGGAAGTCTTCTCTTCTCATGAGGTGGCCAAAGTCTTGGAGCCTCAGCTTCAGGACCTGTCCTTCCAGTGAGCACTCAGGGCTGATTTCCTTCAGAATGAAGAGGTTGGATCTTCTTGCAGTCCATGGGACTCTCAAGAGTCTCCTCCAGCACCAGAATTCAAAAGCATCCATTCTTCGGCGATCAGCCTTCTTTATGGTCCAGCTCTCACTTCCATACATCGCTACTGGGAAAACCACAGCTTTTACTATGCAGACCTTTGTTGGCAAGGTGATGTCTCTACTTTTTAAGATGCTGTCTAGGTTTGTCATTGCTTTTCTCCCAAGAAGCAGGCATCTTTTAATTTCGTGACTGCTGTCACCATCCACAGAAGTCCCCATATGTTTTCCCTTCCACCTAAAGATTCCCAGAATACCCAGAGATTTTGAAATGCAGGCCTGTAAACCCTTTTCTGCTGCTTGGTTCTGTTTACAAGCTCTGATTTTACACGGCTTGCAGCTGACCTCTTGCAAAGTGCATCTGGAGACAGATGGAGGGAGCTCTCGGAGCACATCACCTCTTGCAAGGGCATTGTGTTTACCGTCACTGCCGCAAGAAATGTTGCAGAAAACTCGCGAAGGAATCGAGACCGGCACAAAACTGTTTTGCAGCGCTGAGATTGTGAAGCTTGATAGCAAGTGGGAGGGTGGCTAGCCTGGTCTTTTTTTGGAAGGGTTCGTTGGCTGTGTGAAAAATGTAAAGGTGGCAAATCTGTGTTTTTCATTTGAGAGGCAGCAACAGAGTTGGAGGCTGGTGTCAAAGCTTTGTAAAACAGGTGTGTGTGGAGAGCTGAGTGCCCCCCTTCTCCTTGGTTTTTAAAGAATCAGGGAGTTGATTCTGTTTGTGACCATGGTCTGACTAGTGTGGGGTAATGTAGCGCTGCAGTCTAAACCCCTGAGCCTCTTGGGCTTGCCGATCGGAAGGTTGGTGGTTCGAATCCCCACGACGGGGTGAGCTCCCGTTGCTCTGTCCCAGCTCCTGCCAACCTAGCAGTTTGAAAGCACACCAGTGCAAGTAGATAAATAGGTATCACTGCGGCGGGAAGGTAAACAGTGTTTCCATGCGCTTTGCTTTCCATCACAGTGTCCCATTGCTCCAGAAGCGGTTTAGTCCTGCTGGCCACATGACCCGGAAAGCTGTCTGCGGACAAACGCCCGCTCCCTCAGCCTGAAAGCTAGATGAGCGCCGCAACCCCATAGTCACCTTTGACGGGACTTAACCATCGAGGGCTCCTTTACTTTTTTACCTTTAATGGTTGGAGTGTTGGACTAGGAGACCAGGGTTCAAATCTCCACTCAGCTATGTAGCTCACTGGGCGATCTTGGTGATTCGCTGTCTCTCAGCCTAAACTACCTTGCAGGACTGTTGTGAGGCTAGAAATGGGAAGAGCGAGAACCACAGGTGCCCCACGGAGCTTGTAGAGGAAAAGTGAGCTATCATTATCGTAATGAATGAGAAGCAATTGCCATTGTTAGGATTAATAATAATAGTATAATAATAATAGTAATAATTTATTATTTATACCCGCCTATCTGGCTGGGTTTCCCCAGCCACTCTGGGTAGCTTCCAACAAAATATTAAAATGCAATAGCCCTTCAGATATTAAAAGCTTCCCTAAACAGGGCTGCCTTCAGATGTCTTCTAAAAGTCTGGTAGTTGGTTTTCTCTTTGACATCTGGTGGGAGGGCGTTCCACAGGGCGGGTGCCACCACCGAGAAGGCCCTCTGCCTGGTTCCCTGTAACCTCGCTTCTCGCAATGAGGGAACTGCCAGAAGGCCCTCGGAGCTGGATCTCAGTGTCCGGGCTGAACGATAGGGGTGGAGACGCTCCTTCAGGTATATTGGAAGGAATTCCTCTTCTGGGATGGC